CTACGATAACAAAAAGTCGAAAACCACTTGAAATTCTATCGATTAAAAGTAATATGATAAACACAAAAGCGCGCAAAATTAAAGAAGAAACAAACGAACGAACCTCGCCAGTGTGAGCGAAGCAAGAATTAAGGTAAGACTCATCGACCCAGTACTGCAAATCCCCTATCCAAAGTGTTCTAACTTCCTCCACCGTAGTTGGTTGATGGTGCGCTGGTTGGCCTGCCATAGCTGCCATTGTATCTATTGACGCATTATTTTTCTACTTTCTTTCCACGAATTGCAGATGCTCCGTGAACTTTGCAGGATTGTTCGTGCACCCTGTATGATGCTCCAACTTTACCGTAACTGTAAATTGATCGGCGAATCCAGAGATTTTGGGGGCAAAACTTCGGTGATCGCTGAGGGCTCGACAAATTCCAGTAGAAACATTAAAAAATGTATATCCAAACACAATTCTTTTTTAAAAAAGTGAAAAGATTACTTTGAAACCTGCGGAGTTTTGGCGGTTGGCACTGCTAGGGCTTCCCTCGCGCCGGACCTTCGATAGGACTCCCAAGTAGAGTATGTTCAATAGCAATTATAAAATATCAAATAATAAGAATGAGGGTAAAATTGGAAATAAGAAAGTACAGAAAAGAGGAAAGAAAAAGAAAAGCCTGAATAAATGCATTAGGTTGACCAAAAAGGGCAATTGGGAGGAAAAATATCCACGTGGAATTATTTATTTATTTGGCTTTTTTGTTGTGTGTATGTTGGGTTGTTCATTAATTAAAAAGCGTGTCAGCTCAGTTTGAGCCACGTCATCAATTCAGTTTTGTTTTAAATTTGGTTAAATTGAAAATAATAATAATAATAAAAAGATTAAAACGACATTAAAAAGTCAATTTGGGGCATAAGTTGGTGAGCATATTGCATCAAAAACTGTGGTCCTTAAATTATGTTGCAAACATAAGATTAGCCATTGGTCCGACATTTATTATGTTTCGTTCTTATGTCAATTCTTATTAATTGTAATATTAACTTGTCCATTTCTTTTTTCTTTTTTCTTTATTTTCAACACTTCAGTAATTAAACCTTCAAAATTATATATATATATATAGATTATATTTTAAACTTTATTTGATCATTAACTTGGAATAAGGGGAAAATCAAATTTAATGTATTTTATTAAATGTCATATACTTTTCCACCTAATTTCCTAATCATCGTCTTCGTCTTCACTTTCTGGTCAAAACAAAACAGAAATAAAGAAAAGTCCCATAATTAGTCTGTTTCAGTTCAAACCAGACCCCATTAGACCAAGTCTTCCACTAAACGTCGTCGTCTTCTTCTTCTTCTTCTTCTTCTTCTTCTTCTTCCTCCCATCGAAAAAGAAAAAAAAAAAGATTATGATGAACAAATTTGTCAAGCATTAGAAACAACACTGTAATCATCTTCTTCGAGAGGAGCCGGTAAGTTGAGATCTATGAGACTTATTTCCACTTTTAAAGAAACAGAGCTATTTACACTAACTCCACCATTTGTCGAGCTCACGAAATGGGATCTCTTGTGCCCGCCAAGTGCTTGACCTGACCCAAATAGCTTAAAACAGAATGGGCATTTGAAGATTCTTCTTCTGTTTCCCCCATTTTTGAAATGTTCGTGTTCTTCTTCTTCTTCTTCTTCCAGCTCTGTTTTTAATTGACAGATTTTTTCATGGCTGAACAGAGCTCTGTAAGATCGGAAGTGTTTAGTGCATTTCTGGCACTTTTTCTTCCTTCTAAGTGGCTTCTTCGCTCTATTCTTCTCAAATTGATTTGGACTTTGATTTTGATTTTGGATCCGTTGGTCACGTGAGAGCATCATGAGGCACATGGCCAGGTCTTCCTCCGGCGAGGTGTAGGAAACAGAGCTGGCAGGTTCGGGTGGCTCCAGAGGCGGTTGCCGGCGTCGTTTGGATCTGTTACAAGTGGGGTTTTTGGACTCGGTCTCGCTCTCTCTGTCTTGAAGAACAATGTCGAAAACAGGATCTGAAAATCTGAAATTCGTGTTGGGATTTTCTCTGGCCTCGTAGAGCGTTGGGTTGTGTTCCGATTCGAGAGAGTCGTCGTCGGCGGCGGCGGCGGCGGCAGAGGAGGAGGATGTGGAGGAAGGAAGGGCAACGTGGATGGTGGGCGGCTTGGAGGCTGCAGTGAGGTGGGCCTTCATATGGCCGCCTAAGGCTCTGCCATTGGTGAAGAGTCTAGAACAGAGCTTGCATTTGTGGGAGTCCATATGGATCAAATCAAAGCTTCTTTTTTGGGTTTTATCTTTTTGAGGGTATGAAGAGCCAACAGTGAGAATTGTGGTTTTTGTGGGAAGGAAAAGTACAGAATGGATTGGGAACTTAAAAGGAGTAGCTCACAAGCATTCCTCCCCCAAAACTCACCACCTCCCATAAATTTTTCTTTTTTTTCTTTTTTCTAAATATATCGCCCCCATAGATTATCTATAAACATTTTAATATTATTTTAGAAAGTTGGTGAGTAATTTTAAAATGTGATATTAATGGTAAATATATATATTTTTAAATTTAATTAGAGGCGTTTTTGAATATCTACAAAAGGGAATTTTATATAAATTAAAGGAAAGTATTACATGGAATTGATTAATTAATATTTAAAAAAAAAAAAAAAAAAAACAAATTGGGTTTCAAAACGACAAGAGGGTTAAGGAAAGTTAAGAAGAATGAATGGGAAAGTAGGGACAAGTAACACGCAAACCTTGCCCATCACGGTAATTACACCCCTTTTTCTTTTTCTTTATTTCTTTTACGGCCCCCACCCCCCAACAAATTCCACATTTTGTCCACTTCCATGCCTCTTATTACAAATATGCTACTTTTGGGGGGCTCATAATTAAATTATTTATTTATTTTTCAAATAAGGAATATTTATCGGCTCGGCGTTGCCTATAATGGCTAGCACAATGATGTCCCCTGTATTTCCCGTAGACAATATTGATTATGTAACATGTTTTTTTCTTTCTTTCTTTTTTATTTAAATAATAATAATAATAAATAAAATAATCCATGCATGTATAAACAAAATTCTATTTATTTGGTCATAATTTTCTATAGCTTTTTGTTCTCCAATAAGGGATAACGGTGCCGTATTTAGTAATTTAGAAGTTTTAAAGTGATATATTTTTCAATGCTAATTACTCGAATAATAAATTCTTAATCCTCCAATTTTTTTAATAAGGAATTGAGAACTAAATTCAAATTACTTTGATATCTAAGTTACAAAAATGGATAAATTATAATTTATTTCACCTAGTTATATTTTTAATAGATTAGTTGACTACAAACATTTAAATTTTAGAAATAAATAATTGTATCCTTTAAGGAAAAGGACACGAGTGGCTTTAAAATTATGGATGTGATGTCAACATAGACACTTAATATATATCACATGGAATGCCCAATTTATTTGATTAGTTCAATATTATTTATTTAAGTCAATTAAAGTTTTTATTTTTAGATATTACTAATGGATAATCCATCTGAAGATCAAATCACATATAGAAAATAAAATATGAAAATAATTAATTGTCAAACTCATATACGTATAGAGAAATACATGCAAACGACGTTATATTTTGAAGTAAAAAAGAAAAAAGAAAAAAAGAGGAAATAGAGAGGTTTTAGAATGGTGATGAACAGAGATGAAAAAAGCAATGTGTTGGTTTGGTGATGGGGAAAGGTAGAGATCCATAAAAGGGGAGGGAGCAGGTGGGCTTTTCCTCCAACGTGAGGGCCCACACATCAGAGTATGCCCGTTATGCAATCTTTTAAAATTTCTATCACATGATTTTATTCACATTAAATGTTGGTGGCAGTAATTATATAGAGGATCATAGTATAAAAATTAGATAAAGTTTAGAGATTAAATAGGATGGAAGTTTTAAAATGAAATATGGAAAATATAGAAGTGGATCATTATTGTAAAATTATTAAAAGAAGATGGTAGAGTTTAAAGCAAAACTACAAAAGAAAAAATCCATGGAAAAGATGGGAAGTGAATGAATGAAATATTAGAGAAAAAGGTGAAGAAAAGAGGGGGGAAGTTCCATGGAACCCACCTTTCCCACTATTATTATTATTATTCGCTTCAAGTTTGGTTCCAATTGGATTCACCCAATTCCATCTTTTCTTTCCCGTTGGAACCCATTTATTTTCAACCCCTGTGAGCCTCGCGAGTTTCTCTTGGTTGATTATCAAATTGTCGTCATTTCAAGATGGATGGATTGAATTCAATCTCTTCTTCTTTGTCTTTCCCACAAAAGGCTGCTTTGTTTTGTTGCTTCCCTTCTTTTTACATTTCTCTTCCTCTTCCTCTTCCTTTCTTTGCTTTATTCTCTACCCTCCTACATTTCGAATTTCGGCTATGGAAGAACACCTCTGATAGCCATGACACCGAGATGGTTGGGAGGGAGAAAGAAGTAGAGGGAGAGAGAAAACCCTTTTTTTTTTTTTTTTTAGTAACTAAAAAAGGAGGGAAAAAAGTGTCACATCATTCTTAGTAATTAACTAAAAAAGAAACTAAGAATGCTACCAAATGACTAACCTAAATGTTATCTACTCAAATTTCGGTTTCCTAACCTAAATATGCATATTGACGCCTAAATAATTGGACATTTTGAATTTGCACAAAATAATTATTCAAAAATACATTTTATAATTTCAAATTTATAAAATTAGAAACTTAAATCATTTCTCTTGAATTGCTAAAGTATGAACAAGCGAGGGCTAAGAAAACACATGAATAAAGGAAGAATTATTCCCAAAAAGTAACAAAAAGAATCCCTTCTTTCAAAGATTCACAAAGACGGTGAAAAGTAGGAATAAAGCCACCATCTTCGATGCCTTCGGAATCTTTGTTTTGGAGTTCCCTTTCACTTTTTCCAAAGGCATATAGCCGTATAAGCTTGATTTTGAAGAGAAAATCAATAAAACACCAGTAAACAAATTACAAACGGAGTAAAAGATCAATCCAAAACCGACCAATCAATTTACTAATAATTACAGTCAGTCGTATAATATACATATATACACATTCTTTTTTTAACGAACTTTTGGTACTAATGAAATTCTTGACTTGCAATCTAGTTCTTGCCAATCAAAGTATTGTGTCCCACCCCAAACAGTAAAACCTAACCGTTACAAACAATTTACTGACGCTCAACCTAAAATATAGTTTTTCATCTTTAGTTTTTTTAATGTCCACTTACCATTATAATTTCCCCATATAGGATAAAGGAAGTGGCAGATACACCTACAAAGTTCAAGAGAGTAAAGGTTTCTCAATATCAAAGTCATCACTTTGATAGCCACTCCCATCACAGTAACCTTCTTTTCCTTTTGCCCAAAGCACAAAGTAGAGCCCACAGAACATCAAGAACATACCAGAAAGGCTGCACCCACAAGAATCAAACCCCACTTTCAATACCCAACTCAGATACCTGTTTGACAGCTTTCCTTTTTATTGATCTTTTCAAATGTCTAATCATCAGTTTTTGGTTCTTTTTTACACTCATAATAATAATAATAATAATAATAATAATAAATAAATAAATAAATAAAAGTTTTAATTCCCATATAAATAATTATGTACACAAAAAAAAAAAAACAGAGGGTTTTTGTGTGCGCGTGTAAAGAAAAACTGAGAACATCCAAAGGCAAATAGAGCAGCACACAGCAGATCCACAGAGTCAGAAAATGATTAGAAGAAAAGTTGCTATCTAACGTACCTTCCAATGGAAATAGTGTCTCCTAAGGTGAAGACAGAGAGAATGACAGAGAAAACTGTTCCAATAGGACTGAAAATTGACACCAAAACTGGCCCTCTTTTCTTCATTGCCCACCCGTTGAAGCTCAAGCTTATACCGCTCACTATTCCTCCCTATATTCATCCATCCATCCATTCATCAGTTTCTATTTCATATTTATTTGCATAAAAGATTCTGAAACAGCCTACAGAATTATCTTAATTACAAGTTTTCCAGTCGAAACACTCCTTTCTTTTTGCATTTTGCAAATGATACTTATGAAAGCTGTTCAACAATTTTACCAAGCATGCAACAACGCCCACCAGAAGCAAATGATTTAGCATGAATATTTTAAAAGATGGTTTAATTTACCAATAGAGAGTAGCAGAGTAAATCCTTCATGTTGACAGTTGACCATTCGGTTTCTAACTTATGATTCTTCAGTAGTTGTACAACTGCAGTCGTTAATACTCCAATGAACGAAGTTACAGCACTCAACGACATTGGAGCGGGTAATTCACCAAGGGCTGTAGCCTGCAATATACAGTATAAAAAGCTAGGATTGCTTCATTTCCATCATCACGTAATGTCTCAATTTCGAAGCACAATTACCTGCAATACCACATTGCTTGATAATACGAAGACCGCCATCATGAGATACAAACAACCAATAAACTTTTCCTTATTGAAGAGTACAGATGAAGGAAGAAAAATTAGCTGCTCTTTTGCCGGTATCGTGATGGTGCTGTGCAGTATGCTCATTATGATGGCGCCCACTACACAAAGCAATGTCCCTAAAATCTTAACTTTGCTGTACAGACAACTAAGTTTGACTCTCTCTAATCTGCAAAGACGATTGCAAGTAAATATCACTAAATTAATAGAAAACCGACCATGTAGACCTTTGATTCGGTTTAATTGTTCTGTAAGTGCAGACAAATTCTGTTCTATCGTTGGGATGTCTGAAGTAAAGTATTGGATACCTAAAACACCAGGCAATGATAAAGATGAGACCAGGAGCAATGTTTGGCATGGCAGTTGCCATGGCTGGAGAAGTCAGCTGTATCCCTTCTAATAGCAGAGTTTGGAACAAAGTTACCCTTGAAAAAACCAAAGTACCAATTACCAAATAAATCAGAAAAGAATCAATTTTATGGCCGTGAAACTTATTAAAATGTTGGAACTCTAAGCCACCGACGTCATTAAAATGTGAATTATTTGGTTAGCCTTTGTTACAGTTTAAAACAAACCATTTGACTTTCATGAACTTCCAAGATAAAATACAAAACAAAATGTATTAAAAACTTAGATTGGCGATTCAAAGAAAGAATTGTCTCTGAAAAACATCAATATGGAGCTAATTTGATTTTAACACGTGGAATTTAATTATGTTGATGAAATTTAAACTGAAATCGTATTCCTTCTGAAAAAAATTCTTTTATGTTTTTTTTTGGGGAATAACTTTTCCATGTTGCTCCCAAAAGCGGTTTTAAATTCTTATCATGGTTGGCTTCGTGAATTTGCGAGTCTAAAGAACTTCGATGATAAAATTAGGAAGGGAAACATACAAAATAAATAAATAAATAAAAGAAGAAGAAGAAGAAATGTGGTGATTTTGGAATATATGTATGAAAATAAAACGAGAAACTTATAGCTTGTTGGAAATTGGCTTCCATAAGAAATTATCATTTTTTCAAAACAAAAGTTGATTAAAAATATGTCTGAATAATTAAATTTAAAAGACTAGTTTATCATGTGATTCCTGTAAATGAAATATGAAGTTGTTCTTACTTCAAAAAATTATTAATAAAAAACTATATTTCTTTTGGAAAGTTAAAAATCAATCAACAGTGGAAACTAATTTTAAGAAAGGAGAAACAAAAAAGTGAAACTAAAACTCAAGAAACGAGAAGAATAAAAAACTAGATATTTCTGCGTACCCGCCAAAGGAGATCAGAACAAGCTGAAGCACCAACTTGAAACTCAATTTCTTGGGCCAATTGCTCCTGTATGTATGCACATCATTCATCAAACTTCAATCCCACAATTCAAAGTCATCAGCGAGATAAAGAGAGAGTCGGAGGAAGAGGAGAGAAAGACCTTTCAAAACAAACAGCCAGAGGAGCCAAAAATAGAAATGTGGCAGAGGCAATATAAATGACGATGTTGAGAGGATTGAGCCCTAACGACATCAAATAACTTAGCAATACCGAGTTTCCAGCGTATATGAACTGCACTGAAATCAATCCTCCAATTATTGCCACATCTTCCATCGCTCCAATCTTCATTATTTTCTCTTCGATTCCTTTTCTTTCCTTTTCTCTCAGAAATAATCTCACACAAAAACTAATTTTCCTTTTCTCTTCCCTGCTTTTTCCGAGGACATTCTCGTTGATTGAATCTGCACTCTATTATTGCCGTACGATTCGGCGCCACCACCGTCCGTGTGAGCTCGTCCTGCAAGCGGCGGAACTCTAATTCTGGCCACAGATTGAACTCCAATAAGAATCTATGTTGTTCGATTTTAGAGTCTCTGTTAATCTTCTCTCCTGTGCTTCTGCTCCTCACCGCCGCGCTTAAACGGAATCAGATTACCGATCTCCGTCCTCCTCCGGAAGAAAATAAGTAAAAGAAAAAGAGCAGAGAATATTCCGCGCAATAAATTTTAAAAAACAAGATTAGATTATTAGCTGCTGTTCTTCCTCTATCTGTATATAACTCGGTCCTTGATAAGAAATTTACAGCCTAAATTCCTTCTCCATCTCTAATCAACTCGGATTTTTCGGGTGCTATATTTTCTCCAGTCCTTTTGGTTGATTATATTTAGAAACATCTCTCATTTGACAGTTATATCTTCTGCCATTTCAAAAATCCAGTTCTACATATCCTTTAAGCTTAGTTATCAATTTTAGCAAATTTAATCCACCGAAGCATTCACACGTTTTGACCATACAAAATTAGAAAGTACCGTAATCTCACTTCTAATCTCCTATTGCACTCTTCATGCAACGGCACACAATTAACTTTCAAATCAATAATTGAATCAATTTTCAACGGCTGAAAATTAGTTAGGGAAAATAAAACCCTGTCCGAGAGCTTCCAAATTCCACTATCTTAATCTTTTAAAGATATTACCACACTTTCTTCTAAATGCAAGGAAGAAACAGATAGAAACCAGCAAGTGAAACTAAATCTAAGACGCATAAACACATATAAACAAAGTAAAGACAGAAGGAGAGAGAGAGAGAGAGAGACCTGGTAAAGAAGAATTTTCGGAAAGAATCGGAAGAATCTTTAGGTTTTGCGAGAATCGGAAGTGAACTCGGAAGATTCAGTAATTAAAGGAAAGCTTGGAACAGTCGAATTTTGTGGCGGATCTTACCGAAACAAGCAATGCAAGCTGCTGCAATTGCAGGTTGAAGAAGCCATCAGAGAATTGAAGACGATGACGATTCCGAAGCGGAATCGAGAGCGATCGAGGAGGAACGGAACTGCACCAGAATCTTAAACGCGCGGGATTCTCATCTTCCAGCCAAAAATGAAATAAAAATAGGTTGAAGTTCTAAACTATATATTAAAAATATTAATTTTGTAAATATTTTTGTAAAAAATGTCAAATAATCTCACATTTTTTTAAAAAGAAATTTAGTACTTAGAATTCCCGTCGACAGTTCTATTATTTATCATGTATTTTTAAAAATTCATAAATTAAAAATGAAATAAAGATTCTTTTAACAGAAAATAATAGTAAGTGCAGGTGCATTTTTTACCATTTTAAAACTAGTGATGGATTAATTAGGCTGAAAAATCGTTTTGATCAGCTCATTATCGTGATTACTTCAGCTGTCATTTCATCCCATAATATTTCTCTTGGTTACTAAAAATAATCCTATCTAAATTCGAATATACAACATTATACGATAAGATTGCAAACATATATTTAATCATACTTGTGTGCTTTATATATCTGTATCGGTTCCGAGTTGATAATTATATTTTTATTTATTATTTTTTTTAAAATAATTATTTTAAATTTTGTATTTTTTAATATAATCTTTATTTAAAAAATTCCTAATAAATTGAGCAAACATAAAGTAATATTACCCACCTAAATTTTAAATTTTAATATTAGAACTTTTTAACCATTAACAGTATCATGATGTTTAATTTAAATATTATAATTAAAGTTTCATAATCAACTAATATATATATTTATTTATTTAATATATATTAAAAATATATTTATATTAAATGGAGCATAGATAGAAGGAATTAGGCGAAGTAAAGACAGGAAATATAATCTCGTCCCAAATCCAATTTATCTAACTAGAAATCTCCTCTCCATTCAAAACGGGTCTCCGCAGAACATCTCAAATTCTAATATTCACGTGGTTATTAAACCCTAGAGTTATGTTATTCATGAAAATTATAAAATTAAAAAAAAAAAAGATATCTAAAATGGACGGTCGAGTTGAATTTGAATATACTAGGTTGAATCGGATGGATTTGATTTGATTGAGATATACTTTTGGGTTGCTTTCTAATCAATTAATCTCACAAATTTCATACACAGAGAAGCTAAAACCATACGAAAATGAAGAAGAATAAGGAGAAGAAAAAAAAGGAGAAGAAATTAGTGGTGTTTGAAGATCCAGTGTTGGTGGACTTTTCAGATTCCAAAAACGAATCCAATTTGAAATTGGGATTTGAACCATACAAAGCCTGGACTCCTTCCACGTCATCCATCCTCAGCTCCACCTTCTTCCCTCGCGGACTCAGACTCGGATACATCACTGCTTCCTTCACCGCAGAGTGAGCCAGTCCAAGAACGTGCCCTATCTCATGCGTCACAACCGATTCCAAATCCACTGCCACTTTCGATTTCTCCTTTTCGAAATCCACCGCCCACCTCTCTGCCGCGTCCAGGTGGAGCCTTCCGTTTTCCGGCGAAAACGCGTGCGCTAAAACGCCTAATACTCCGTCAAACGCCTCTCCATCGCCGTGATCGCCCTGGTAGAATCCGATTCGTATGTCTGACGATTCGTAGTCTAAGGACTCGGTGAAGTTCAGCGGAATCACCGCGGACCACCGCGAGAACGATCGTCGGACTACGTTACGGATTTCCGATGAAGTTAGGTATTCGATTGTGTAGTCTGGTGAGAGAGCGTAGGTTAACGTCGAGCCTCGAATCCATCGTGGCTGGCCGTTGAAGAACGCGTATCGGCGCGTTGAGTGAATCGTCGACGTTGTTGCATCGTTGATTTTAATTAGGTCACTCATTCCGCATCGAGGCGACATGATGCTCGCGATCGTTTCGGAATCGAGCTTTCCAGTGACTGATAAACCTAAGCGCTTCTGGTACAGAATCAACGCCGATACGAATTGGTCATCCACGAAATCGGAGAAGTTGTTTTCAGGAGAAACCGGAAGGTAACCGAATCGATTCAAATACTTCTTCAGCTCCGACATGCCGGTCACTTCGCTGCCCTTGCCGGCATCGAGGAACCGAGCGAAGTTTCTCCAGACATAGTTGTTGCTGGCATCGAAGGCGGCAGTCGCCGTCGTGAAGTCCAGCGGAGTTGTGGCGGGAAAAACAGAGGAAAAGAGAAAAACAGAGGAGAGAAGGTAGAAGAAGAAGAGGTAATAACGGAAAAACGGAAACATGGTGATATTATTTGGCAGTTATCGGGACATAAGAGAGATGGAAAGGGAAAAGACTATATCACCGATCAATTTTGCGATTTATTTATTAATATTTTGGTTAATATTTGGTAAACAAACCATTTTCTTTTTTAATAAATAAATAAAATTGTTATTAAATCTTTCCTTTTCAATTTATTTAATTATATTTAACTATTAAATCAACTAATAATGGTTTCTAAAACATACAAATGAAAATATATTGATTTTTTTAGACTTTAATGCTTGTTTTATTTTAGCCACTCGTCCTTATGGCTAAGTTTCTAGCGTTGCATCATTGAATTGACTTTGACTTGTATTTTTGGTTCAAATTTAAAGACATAATTAACTAAATGGTTCAAATTTAAAGACATAATTAACTAAAGTTTAGATTTAGTTGGACTTATTTTGTCCAATTCCTTCGTAATTAGATTGAGTTAGACTAAATTCATCTTAATTAAGAACATGTTGGGTACATGTCCAACCTCACATGTGGTCAACCCTAAGGTTAACCTCAGCCTATACTCACTTCTGTGATAACTACTACCTAATTCAAAATATTAAAACGAAACATTTATGCATCAAAAATCAAAAGTCAAAACAAATAAAACAAGGAAAAGGTGAATGTGATGTTTGGCCTCCGATGTCCTACTAATCTATTTTTCGCTTAATTATAATTAGTTAAAGTTGGGAAGTAGGAAGATGATGGAAGAGAAATGAAGGTATGAGAAGGTGAAGCATATTAGGTTTGGGTTGATATTTGAAGGCTGATTTGTGTTATGAATAATGATGATTACATCACTAATTAGAAAAATAATGTAGAAGTTGAACAAACAAAGATTTCCATAGAGAAGCTCGCCAGTTCCCAACCCCATTTCTTTTTTTTTTTTAAATAAAAGAAAAATGGGTAGATTTTGGTTCAACGGTTCAACATTAAGTGGTGAAAAAATTATTATAAGATATATGAAGTTTATGGAATAATGATGGTGGGATTTTAATTTCAAATCTTAGTGTTTCTTCCTTTTGTTTATCATGGTAGGTAAACTTGCATATTGACTTTTTTTTTAATTTTTTTTTATTATTAACAAAAACAAATTGAATGCTAATGGTTATGGTAAATTTAACCATATCAATATCAAATTTTTTATTTGATATTTTCTTATGGAGAGATGAAAAATACCATATAATATAATTCATCTAGAGAAGGTTGGAAAATTTTTATTTTTAAATCTTTATATTTCAGTTAAATTCTAAATCTTAAAATTAAAATTTAGTTTTTATAGTTTTAAATACTAGATTTAGTATCCATGGTTGGGTATGGATAGTTTTATTATACTATAAGACTATTTATGAGGTTTTATGGGACAAAATTTCAATTTATAAGACAAGAAGAATCGAATTTGAATGACTGAGACTAACTCGCACATAACTATCTAACCCTCTTACATTTGCTTGTAAAGTAATTTCATAGAAAATTAAATTTTAAGTAACCATCATCATTCGAATCCATTTCTTCAAAACTTTTTATTGTTTTCAAAATTCTTATTGTTAGGGTTGCACAACAACACGCACTCGATCCAGATGAAAAACATGAGAGATAAGAAACAAAAAGAAATATGGGCTAACACAGGTAAGCCAACCCTTCAAAATATATATTTGAACTTGAACCCTTTTTTTGAATATAAAAAAGGAAACAAATTGGTTTTTGCAGAAACAGAGGAAGGGTTGAAAATGCAGTCTATTTGTTTGAAAACCAACCTGGTAATCTGCAATTCACGATTTCAGCTTGAGTTGTAAGGTAAGCAGTGGATGATCTGAGATGGGTTCTTGGCAGTTCGATGATCCATACATTACTGTATAAGTTGGTGTGAGCTGATGGATGCTTTCTTTGGTTGAAACACTTTGCCTGACTTCTTCTTCACACTTTCACCTATATTTGGCTGCACAAAATCCCATAACATTTGATGCAGAAAACCAGGAAGAGAGGTTCAAGACATGGTTGAAAGTCGAAACAAGATTCAACATCAACAACACCCACCTTACAACATTCAACATCAAACCAACAAATCTATATTAATTCTCATTCTCCACTTCTAATCAATCAAACAACAACAAACAATCTATATTAATTCTCATTCTCCACTTCTAATCAATCAAACAACAACAAACAAACCATAAATCTCTGCACAAATCCCATAAAAAAGAGGCGAAGGAGAGACGTAGAGGGCCGTTTATGACCTTCCAATTTTCTAACGATGGGGCCGACCTCCAATCTTTTCATGAGCACCAGCACTAAGTGTATATGCTTCAACTTCACCTGTCACTCGTATCGATAATACATGTCAGCACCTGCCACATCATGTTCGTAAACCTTTAGCCTAAAATATATCGTTCATATAAACTTAACAAATGTATTAAATATAAAGTTAATATGAGTAAATGAATAATGTATGAAGAGGGGCACCATGTGTGGCTGTTGGGCATGGAAAATGAAACATATATGGAAGTGAATGGCAAGCCCATATGGAGCATAAGCTATCAATTCCACATGATGTTATGAGCACTAAGAACAATCAATCTCAAGTACCAATCATTCTCCACAGATCATTATTACATGAATTCCACATCAATATATTCTCAATTACGTCTTTGGTAGTAAAATTCAAAATTATGTATTTAAACATTTTTAACATCTTGGAGCATTTTTATATTTTTGTAAATAAAATATTTTGGATCTTTCTTGAATTTAATGTCCATTACATATTATTATTTTCTCCTATTTCTTATTCCTTCATGATCTGATAATCATGAACTTAAAAAACTATATTATATAAATATATGTGATCTGATAATCATTGTCAAGGTCGCACAATTATATTTTA